ACGCATGTTTTTTTTTTACCGGAGACAGAAGAACCATAAAGGAACTTCTTGTTCGCCTTGTGTTAACGATTGGTGACCAGACAGTGTTCGCGTGCCTGTTGTGGGAGATAAGGCCATTTTTACGCTCCCAGGCCAAAAAAGTACAAGAAACTGTCAAAGCTTAGTTGGCTGTGAACGACTCGAAAACCGGCATAAATCTTTTTCCTGTGATCCAGGCAGAGATTGGGGACAAATTCGAAAAGCAGATTTCGCTCCATAATCCATAAGCGGCATTGGATTCTGTATTCATTCTTTCTGTATTCAACCCTCTTCTCTTTTTTCTCATATTTATCTGATAGTGAGCTCCTGTTTTCTACTTTATCACATTTTAATCTGAGTGTGTAACAACAATGTGAAACTCCAAAAGTTTATTCCAAAAGACTCAAAAGACAGTGAAAGTCTCAAAAGTTTGTTATAATATATCTTAACTTGCAATATTTCGGTGCGTAGCACCTTCGTCAGGCCTGAAAATATTTAGCTTGTTGTGTTGGTTATACCTTCTACAAAGTGCAACCCGCACGGACCCCACCCCCACCAAGCCACTTACCAGTTGTCCCGAAATAAATGACCAACCCACCCCAACCATGCCCTTAAATAGTGGGATACTTGTGGCGCGATCACATTATCACTTGCATGATGTCACGTAGCTCCTCCCTGTTATTTATTTCTGGTGAGAGCCGTTTTATTTCCAGAGCCTCCAATATTTTCCTTTCCATTGTGTTCTCCACTGAGCGGTGTAGCACTGTGATGGTTAATGAGGGGGGTTCTTGGTGAGCGTGTTCATGTGTGCGATGCCTGGAGAAACTGCTATTGGGGTAGGAAGGTGGATTCCCCAGCGCTCTCCGGTGTTCGTCGATCCTTTTGTAGAGGGGCCTCCCAGTTTCTCCCACATATTTTTTGTCCGCCGCATCCTTGACACTCCACCAGATAAACTGTTCCCCTGAGCTGGCAAATTTTGGAGTTGTTGCAGTAACTGCAACCTGCCCTCCCACATCTATTTTCATAAGGCCTTGAAAAGGTAAGAAGACGTTTTAAATTTGGTGGCGGACGGAATATTAAACGTATCGGAAGTGGTGAGCACTTCACTATATTATTTACTTTTAAGGCTGTGTTTTCATTTAGGTAAGGTAACACCAAGGGAATTCCGTCCGGTGTCGAATGTGGTTTCCATGTGTGGGTGCGAGTGCTTGTATAACCATTCTCCTTTAGAATTCTGTCCACCATCGAAATGAACACATAGTCTGGTGAGAAACTCGATCACACATTCCGCGACAATCGGAAAGGCGGGGACGTTCAACCATTCCGTCTCCCTTATTACTACATTTTAATTTGATACAGAAGATGTCATAATTGGTTTTATTTATCGTTTTTGACTTTAATTATTTGGTTTCAGAGTTGCTATTGATGTTTGATGGCTTTGCTTGATGCCTTGCAGTGGTGCCTCACGTTGACTCCGATGACGAAATTGTTTTTGGCATCCACGTACAGATCACAGGAAAAAGACATGCCGCTTTTCGAGGCATTCACAGCCAACAAAGCTTTGACAGTTTCTTGTACTTTTTTTGGCCTAGGAGCGTATCAGTATTGAGTCGCATTTGTCGGCAGCAGAAAAAAAAATGGCTTTATCTCCTACAACAGGCACGCGAATACTGTCTGGTCACCAATGCGATAACACAAGGAGTTCCTTTATGGTTCGTGTCTCCGGTTAAAAAAAAGACATGCGTGCGTGCTTTTTGGGTGGCGCGACTACTCTTTGGGTGTTTTTTGCAGAAAATGCTCTTAATAGGACAGAAGGACACTGTTATGCTAAAAGCAAGTTACCAAAAAATACGTGACTGTCGAGTAATGGAGAGTAACTGTCAAGGAATGTCAGAATGGTTACCAGCTTGTATCAGTCCTCACCTATTTCGGTCGAATTCTCAGAAAACTCAGCAACCTTCCCACTTGTCTGCTGCCCTAAGCAACTCTAATCATCCTAACGTTGGAAATAGCAGTACATTGCGAAGCGACGCTGTAGCGCGACGCACTAGCGCTACACTGTAGCGCTACAAGTCTGAACGTTGCCTAAAACGCCAAAGAGACGTATGAGACATGGGACCATGCTGGATTCACTGAGACTTAGAGCTAAGCATATTTATTAGAATTAGTAAAGAATTATGACACAACGGGCCAGAATAACTTCAAACGAGAGGAAGAGGACATATGGTACATTCAGATAAGCAAGTCCAAGTCTATGGTAATAGCTATTGGTGCCGCGCTTCGTTACAAATAACACATTTAGGTCTGCGTGAGAAACTCGATCACACATTCCGCGACAATCGGAAAGGCGGGGACGTTCAACCATTCCGTCTCCCTTATTACTACATTCTTCCTCCTTACCGTGTTTAGGTATGCGTCCAACGTTGCGTATCGGTTGGGAGTCTCCACCCTTCGCGCGCGCCACCGGAATGTGCCTTTAGGTCCTGAATTTATTACAAATATTGTCTTATTGAGTATTAACACTATTGAATATATACCACCTAAAAAGGTTATTTCGAGCGCATTTTTTACACTACACTTCTGAACAATCGACTGAACATCTCGTTGCTTTCATGCATTGACTCTGCGATCTTGAAGTTTAGTATTCCAAAAAGCCAGCATATTTGTCATCGCCTTCAAAGTCCTAATAGCGGAACGGTGCTGCCATATTCGCCAACATGTCTATCTATCCGAACCATGTTCTGTTCATGACGCACGCGGCTTTCCCTTGCCAAAAATCTCTTCCTGTCTGTGTGTAGTTTACAGAAGACTGTGATAATTGGTTTTATTTATCGTTTTTGACTTTAATTATTTGGTTTCAGAGTTGCTATTGATGTTTGATGGCTTTGCTTGATGCCTTGCAGTGGTGCCTCACGTTGACTCCGATGACGAAATTGTTTTTGGCATCCACGTACAGATCACAGGAAAAAGACATGCCGCTTTTCGAGGCATTCACAGCCAACAAAGCTTTGACAGTTTCTTGTACTTTTTTTGGCCTAGGAGCGTATCAGTATTGAGTCGCATTTGTCGGCAGCAGAAAAAAAAATGGCCTTATCTCCCACAACAGGCACGCGAAGACTGTCTGGTCACCAATGCGATAACACAAGGAGTTCCTTTATGGTTCGTGTCTCCGGTAAAAAAAAACATGCGTGCGTGTTTTTAGGTGGCGCGAGTACTCTTTGGGTGTTTTTTGCAGAAAATGCTCTTAATAGGACAGAAGGACACTGTTACGCTAAAAGCAGTACCAGAAAAATAGTGACTAATGGAGTAACTGTCAAGGATGGTCAGATAGTTACAGCTGTATCAGTCTCACCTTTCCGTGAATTTCTCAAGAAAACTCCAGCAACCTTCCCACTTTTCTCTGTAAGCAACTCTAATCATCCTAACGTTGGAAATAGCAGTACGTTGCGAAGCGGCGCTGTAGCGCGACGCTGTAGCGCGACGCTGTAGCGCTACAAGTCTGAACGCTGCCTAAACGCAAAGAGATATGAGAATGGACATGCTGGATTCACGAGCTTAGCTAAGCTATTTTATTAGAATTGTAAAGAATATGAACAACGGGCAATAACTTCAAACTGAGAAGGACATATGGTACATCAGTAAGCAAGTCCAAGTTATGGTAATAGTATGGTGGCGCTTCGTACAATGAACACATAGTCTGATGAGAAACTCGATCACACATTCCGCGATAATCGGAAAGGCGGGGACGTTCAACCATTCCGCCTCCCTTATTACTACATTCTTCCTCCTTACCGTGTTAGGAGCGCTCCAATGCGATGGTTGTGAGTCTCCACCCTTCCGCGTGCCACCGAATGTGCCTTTAGGTCCTGAATTTATTACAAATATTGTCTTATTGAGTGTTAACACTATTGAATATATACCACCTAAAAAGGTTATTTCGAGCGCATTTTTTACACTACACTTCTGAACAATCGACTGAACATCTCGTTGCTTTCATGCATTGACTCTGCGATCTTGAAGTTTAGTATTCCAAAAAGCCAGCATATTTGTCATCGCTTCAAAGTCTATAGGAGGTGCTGCATATTCGCCACATGTCTTCTTCCGAACCATGTTCTGTTCATGACGCTCCCTGCAAAACGTTTTTTCACACTTGTGCCCCTTCACTATAAAGAGAATTTGTTCATGAAGGTCAAAGGTATGGGAACTTTCAACTGCTTTTTACTTTACTGCGGAGCTGTAAGTCAAACCACCTGACACGAACCAAAATCTGCGGCAAACATGACTGTATTTTCGTTTACTTCCACGATTAGGATCACCCTTACATGGACGGAAATGGGGAACACAAATGAATCTTTGTGGAAATCGCATTGGTTGAAGTGATTTTGCAGGTAGTTCGGCCACAGAGGGGATTTTTTGCCCTTTTGGTACTTCCTATCGTCGTGTCAACCCACCTAGATAGCCTTTTCGTGTTGACACTCTTCCCATAGCAGTTCGACGAGCTTGCTCTAGCTTCACAAGAATTCACAGGTTCCAGCAGAGTGAGGCTCGTAAGCCGGAAAAGAAGGGGAACCCCCCCCCCTCATGTCGCCAAACTGTCTCGTGATTTGGGAAGCCGCTCACGTGCAAGGAATTCAAAACTCACATATATGCATTAAATATATTCTTTCCACGTTTAGCCCACTCGTCGGCTTGATACACCGGGTTCAGGCAGCGAAACAGGCGCACCAGATATCTGAAACAGCGCTGAAATGCACCAGCAGAAAACCCGCTGAGAGCTAGAAAGGCCGAAATTTCAAGGTAACTTCAAAAGAGCAGCAGAGAACTGGCTCTAGGAGAAAGATACCCGGTAGTTCGAAAAACTTACTTGATGATGAAATGTAAGAGCTAACATCAGTGACTGCACCTCGTCCATGCTCATGTCATTCTCGTCCACAATCACTTGATACGATGTGGGTTTTGCTGTACCCTAGAACCATTTGAATGAATCCCTTGAGAAAGAAATACTAGTAATAAGTGCATGCGGTTCTTCCCTTTCTTTTCTGAAACTATGAGTTGGGACAAATAGAGACGTTCCCATTGGTCAGTCCGGCTGCAGGTCTGACTTTTTCTTCCCTTTCCTACCACTAATTCAACGCCACAACGTTCGATGGAGAGCGGTCATCCCGCTCTCCCAGATCACGCAATTCATCCATATGGAAGTTCAATACGGGGCGTCTCGTCGACAGCTGGTCACCTCGTCATGACTCTTATGCATACGTCACTACCCCCTCCCCCTTCCGTCTGGACCCCTGTTCTTCTCGCAGCCACGCCTCTTGTTCTTCCCAGATATGAGGGCAAGAACATAAAACACTGCTTCCGTACGATCTGCCAAGCTTCATCTGAAGCAACTTGTTTGAAAAGGGAACGTACCTGAACGGGATGATGACTCTGCATATAAAATTCAGTTATGTCATTCCGAACCACATCCGTATCCACAACGGTAGCTGGTTTCGGATTTTGAATGCCTTAATTTAAGAGAACATTAATACATCCGGAAGAACCGGAACTAAATTCTTTATACCTAGCAAATAGGTCGGACACTGCAGGGGGAGTTAGCATTGCATGAAAGCCAGCGATCGCGCGGTGTGGCAACGAAGAGACGTGCCGCGCGGCATTTTTACTATAAACGCAGCATTTGCTCAAGGAGTTGAAGATTATGAATTCTGCCTCCGAACACCCCCCCCCCTATCGCCAGTGAAAATAGTGAATGTTCATGAAAAGGGTGTAAGACAAGAAAAAGCAATGCGCAATCAAAAATGCGAGGAGAAGAGAACTCAAAACAACAGAGACAGCCATGGACGGAAATGTAGCAAAATGGTAATCAGAAAACATTAGCGCCTATTATTCTGGCGATCCGGCAAAATGACAGGCAGGTTGACATGATGCCGAAATTATGCGAGGAGAGCAGGTCTCTATTGGCACAATTGCGTGGATCACGTCCAGTCGGCCAGTATCGCCGCCCGCGGCGAGGTGGAAAATGGCGGAGGTGAGCCCGGGTATATGACAAGAGAATCGTAATTTCCATCGCTAGCCGGCGTGGCGGGCAACGCGGCGCCGCGAGCGACGAGCTGTCCTGCCTAACCATTCCAGTTTGAATATGAAAGGACAGGAAATGGTGTCACCAAAGTGCGTCAGCAGTAAGCGGTTCTGACTGAAGTTTTTCATGCTGTTATAGTTCTAGCACATTCTGTTGTTTATTGAGGGCAGTCATAGACTTGTTTTTGGATTATCTGATTGAAAATTGAAAGTTAGTAGAGGTATGCATTTATTCTTACTAGTTTCGCTGCTCCAAAGCAGGAACGGACGCATAGTTTAAATTCCCCGCGCATATCGCCGCGTGACGCCCACACTGAAAAGTTCCCGCGCTCATCGCCAGACAGTGCGGTACGCCGCGCGCGACCGCCAGTAATTGACGCCTATCCTGTCCGTCACTAGGTGGCCCCACGTGGAGTCCCAACCTACACCCAACACCGCTTTGGCTACAATGTCTTAGACCTGTGCCCGAAATAATCTCGTGGCCAACTTACCCTGTTTTTCCACGAAGAAACGGGCATTATGACGTTTGGTAGCCACAATCACGGTGAATCGTGGCATCCATGATTCGCGACCGTGGAGATTTCCAAACTCTTCGCATGCCTGCTTGATCGCAAACAGCTCTTCGTCAACCACCTATGAAGGATTTTTCGTAAATATTGAAGCATTTTCACAAACATTAACGTACTCTGGAGCTCAAAGTCTGGACGCATCTGTCTAACCCAATACAATCTATCTGCTAGCATTACGAAAGCTCACGACACAACTCCAAGCTTAGACCGGCTTTATAAGGGGATGCTTGTGCTTATTGTCAGTAGTTCATACCATTCTATATTGGCCTTCCGACACACCATCCCTTGTGATGAGCACATTTTCCGGCCATACACCGCGATTTTTCGTGAACAATTCAAGCATCCATTTGAAGCGAGCATTCAGTACATTGGGTTCCACCTATTGAGAGCATATCATTAATAGAGCTAGCGAAATCCTCGAAACAGTTCAAAACCCACTTTTTCACGGCGTGGTGTCTGGTAGTGGTAGTCGCCAATGAATTTCTCACGATGTTCTGCACCATTGAATGAAAACTGAAAATTGTTACAAATATAGACCTTATGTGGCAGACCCCACTTTATTTTTCGAATTATTCAATGGCGGAAGAAGCCTCTAACAATCGCACACCTACGAGTTTTGAAGTTTAGAATTCTATATGTGTCAACTACAGTCTGGTTCGCCAAGAACGAAGGGGCGTATCAGGCGGGATGAGTTTGGCACGGTGCCAAAACCGTTCTCCACCAGTTGCTGAAGCGAGCAAGTGACAAGACTGTATCATACTGTTGGTATCACTCGTTTTCCACCTAATGTTGTCGCATACCCGCTTCAACAAATGTCGGAAGAACGGGGTTTGGCGCCTAGGCACACTCGCGCTGCCTGACACGCCCCTTCATCCGCAGTGAACTAGAGTATAATTTGTTGTACATGCTTTCCGAGGTGATTTAATCGACAGTGTCTCATGAAGAACAAAAACCCACTCCAACAACGCTAGGTTTTCTCGGTGGCATCCTGTTCATTCATTTCATCACATGTTGGCCTTCCAGGATGAGCAACGTCGTAACCAACGATGAGCGTCGTACCTTTGGCAATCCACACGTTTTCACTGCAAGTAAAATGTAAACTGTGTATCGTTTTGTAAACAGAGGAATAGTAGGCAGAAGCACAGTGCACAAAAATCAGGGTAGTCCAGCGACGGGGGGGGGGGGGGGGTGCAATTTGCACTTTCGCTGGTTCACTAGTTCCGGTTTATATACCTTACTCTCGTAAACCTGTGCATTCCTTTGAAGCAGGTGCAAGCTCGTCGAGCCACCATGGTAGAACCTGTCAAGCTCTTGTAAGCTCATGAATAGCTTTCCAGATGGCTCGACACGTCGATGGGAAGTAGCAAAAGTGCAAAATGCCCCCCCCCCCTCGCCGAACTAAGCCTGAAAACCATTCAGAACTTACGCAAAAGACTCTGGTACAACTTCATAGTTGATCCCTCCTAGTTTCAGATTCGTCTTCGAGACGAAGTTGCCACAAGACTGTTGCTGCCTAAATACTGTCACGCCTTATCACAAATCAATGAATGACAGATCAGCTAATTCAATAAATGGAGGAACGAAGGACAAATCTCCCCGGTTGACAAACTGGAACGGGGCTCTGTCCCCTGTGTTCACTATGAGTCTCGAATAGTTCAGTCCACAGCGCTCTCTCTCTCTCTCTCTCTCCAGCTCACTACTGACATACGCCCCGGATTTTTTTCCGAAGTATTCAACTTTACCGACTCTATGAACCCAATTTTTTTTCGCTGGAGCTTTCCTGATAGCTGTTGTTCAAATTACTGGTTACGAATAAAAATCTGTTTTTGATGCTGGTGCCACCCGGCGCCACGATCGTTCTCAACCACCCGCTATAAACTTCCGTCTGGTGGTGATCGGCTCCTGATAACGGGAGCGACATTTATCACCCAACCGTTGTTAACTCTGCCAGGGTGATTCCAAAGGAACGAGTGGCCCTCGCCCAAAAGCTCATTAGTCACTATCTTCCATTTGAGCATTTCACGTAATTGCCGAATATGTTTGTCTAAACTGTGGCACTTTAAACTAGAAGAAAGCGCTCTTGAGCACTGAGACCGAAAAGGCTACCTAACGTATAAGATTATGGGTTCAGGTGGTCAAGAGGCACACAGTATTCTCGGAACTTGCTCGGCCGTAAACGCACATAAGCAGGTCGTACCTGGGACTGAATGGCGATCTTGCGTGGAGAAGGCGTATGCACTACATATTTAATATCACGCGCAATTTCCAAAGGTACGGTACCAGGGCACACCATTGCTGGGTATTTTCCAAGAGGGAGGTCGCATTTGGTCGCTCGCTGGGGTCGAAAAATCTGATCGGAAAAACTTTTTTGATTTTTTCTTGTTTCAGGGATACTAGAAGGGAGGCGGGGTCGAACAGGCCTACCGGCTTTCTACGAGTTGTTGACTTTTCGCGTTTTCCCTGTTCTATTTGTGCCCCTCATTTGTGTTATATACCCCCTGCTACAGCTCGATGAAGAGGGAACCACGGAAGGGCGGGGGGTGTACGGACCCGACCAATATCTTCGAGCAATGATCTGTCCTGTACTGTATCACCCTGACTTCCTGATCATAACCCTGTACCTAACAGTTCTGAGTCAAGATCTATCTTCCTTTCAAGCTCAAACACTCGAAGTGCGAGCATTCCAATTATATTGCCAAGGTTGCGTATGAACATTCCTTCAACACATGGCAATAGGGTTGTAAATAATAGCAGAAATAAAATTTTGAACTAAAAAACGCCAGTGGACAGTTTGTGCTCACCGTTGAAACTTTTTGGCAAGCTCCGTCGTCAAGTGCTGAGTCGGAATCATATATGTACGCTCCATGAGTTTTAGAAACTCTGAAATTAACTCAGTACCAGACAGATGTAATGAAAGAACTCAGGATAGAGAGTACCGTGAGATTTAGTTTCCGATCTGTCAATTAGAATGATGAGCAAAGACTCCTTAGAAGCTTTATTTTGTTCGAAAATCTGAAAAGGTACCAATTAAAATTAGTTGAACGATATCGTTTTGTTATGACTGCTGCTTTCAGCGCTCCAATTCGCGAAGCTGGGTTTATTATGAGTGCGGTGCATTTCGGAGTTTTTGACCGTCCAAGCAAGCCCAGTATCAAACTACTGCCTGTGGAGGGTCTGATATCTGGGATTTGACGCACGAACGCTAATGAGGCAAGATGCGCCATTTGCTGCTACACCATCTTCGTCCACCACGTACATATATTAAACGTAGTCTCCGCGCTCGAGCAACTCCGAGGTGTCCCTGCTTGTACAAAAGGTCTGGCCCCCATTCTCCAAGACTGTTCCATTTTCGCGGCTTTACAGTAAGTAACGAAGCGCTACACCCCTCATAGGTGGCAGTTCTGACGCTCCCTAAAGGTCCCACCCGCAAAAACTCGAAGGCTATTTTCTGTCTAGTTTTTTTTTTCCCTGCTAGATGGTATAAGCATTTTATACCGCTCAGTGGACAGAGGCGGCTGGATATCGCTTTTGCATAATACGAGTAGGTCCGCAGAATCGTCCAGACACTGCCAGATCCTTACTTTAGGTGTTCTCCATGATTTTTTTTCGCTTTCTCTTCCCTGGAAAGTCATTAAGGAACTACAGGTTCTTCGCCGGATGATTTGTCAGGAAGAATATTTCTCGACAGTGGTCGAGTTTTTCTATAGGGCACACCCACTTTATCGTTAAGGAATTGTAGAGTGAACATCGCAGGCGGCACCAACTGTTTGGTACACAACGTACTCCCTACGGGTGTCTCTCCCTCACTTCATCTACCAACCCTTTGCTCAGCACTCATCTTGGCTGCTCCGGATGCGTCCTGAGAACTCATATCCTCGACACCGCTCACTTCGTCGGACGCCCCGCCCACTGTGGGCGGAGCTTAGGTTACCTTGTACGTGCTCTGCAAATGCCACAACTATTCCAAGCACAATCA